GGAAAGACGAGCTCTGCTTGGCCGAGCAGAAATGACGAAGGAACGGGAGGCGAAGGTAGCGGGCTCCGTTTGGCGTCGACTGTGAGCTCTCCCGGTCCGCCCTAGAAGATTTCTTTCGTGGATCGGAAGTTCACGAAAAAGCTAAATAGAACGAACGATTTTATCATTTAATAACCGGACACGCGTGTCGGACACGAGTGTCCGATTTAAATTTTAATGTTTTAAATTCTGACACTCCAATGCCGTGTCGGACACGTGTCCATGCCGTGCCGACGCGTGTCCGTGTCCGACACGTGTCCGACACTGCATACCCTCTTCAAGAGGCGTGTCGGTGCATCATAGCTTCTTGATTAACCTTTCTATCTCATCTTTTTGAATCTGGGGGTAATGGTATGGTCTAACACTAATGAGAGAGGTTTCCTCTTTTAGGTTGATGGCGTGCTCGTGCTCTTATGGTGGTGGTAACCCAACGGGTGGCTGAAATACTTCCTGATACTATTGCAGAATCTGCTAAACCTCCATTGAAATTTCCTTGGCTCCTCTTCTTATACCCCTTCTATGCTATGTAACTCTACCAAATACCCCAGTTCTACATCTTGGATCGTCCTAAGCATGATTTTAAGTGAAACCATGGTCTTGCATAAGCTAGCATCCCCTTGAAGCACTATCTTCTCCCCTTCCACCTAGATCTCCATGGTCAAAAATTTCTAGTTCACCTTCATATTCCACAGGAACTGGGGCTACTTCATCCCCATAATCACATCTGTACTTCCCAAGTCCAGGGGAAGGCCATTTGAATTCCCTGCAAAATTATCACCACGTCTTTACATATCTTCCCTTGACTCTTCTCTATCTTACCCATTCTCATCATCACCCCACATCCTTTAGTCCTAATTAACTTTAACCTCAATCGATTCACGACCCAATTTGAGATGGAGTTATGTATATCTCAACTATTCTCCAAATCCACTAATTGCTCCCCAATTTTCCCCTTACTTTCATAGTGTGATTTGGGATAAATCCTACCACAGTGTTCAAGGAGACTTCCGCCACATCTAAATGTAAATGTTTTGTTTCTTCCACGACATCTTCCAGCTTGTCCTTGCTCTCCTCTTTCCCTTCACATACCATAAAAGCTTGAAGGGTTCGATTCTTACACCTATGTACGGATGTAAATCTCTCATCACACCTGAAGCATAACCCTTTTACTCACCTACCCTGTGTCACGACCTGACCTAGGAGCTCAAATTAACGAGGTGGGAACAGACGGTCGGACGATAAAATCATAATCTAAATCTATTTCCAATTCATTGAAAGAGCCACTAAACATCAAAAACATAAACTGATACAAAAATAACTTAAATACCTTTTTTCTTGTGCCTCAAAAGCTTAGCGAGTAATACTTGCCTCTAAGCTATAGTAATTCAAAGCAGTAGAAGTAATATGGTAGATGTCACTTTTCATTTAAACATATCATAAATTTTATTTCCTATAAACATCATTGAAACATAAGCATAAATCATAAATACATATCATTTCATATTCAGTTTACATTCATTTTATCTGTATTCGTAACTTTCTCATTTTCATATATAGTAAAACCGCCCACGAAATCCCCCGTCGCCTTGCCCGTCCGCCCTCTGGTTTTGGCCGAAAGAAACAGCCGCATGAATGAAAGGGGACCGAAAGCACTTCTGCTTCTGTGAGGCACTTGAAATTGCCTTCAGGACGAACTCCAATGCTTTTCTCCTTCGGTGATTCTCTCTGAAATGAAACCATTTGGGTCCTTGGTGTCAAGGCCGTCGAGGTACTCCTGTAAGCCTCTCCTATGGTGTTTCTCTGGCTGGCCTTCACCCTCTGATTCTTCTCTTCCACCCTTTACGCCATCTCCATCATCTCTCTCAGTCCTCTAGGTCTCAACACCCTGAGCTTTGCTCATGTCTTTCTTAAGGCCTTTCATGAAATTTTCTTTCAACCCTTCCTCAAAAATTCCTCTTAGTCTTCTTGATAGTAGCTCAAATTTCTCCTGATAATCCATAATGGTCCCCTCTTGTGTTATGGCATAGAACGTCTCGTGGAGGTCTCCTTTACTGAATGGCTCAGAAACATTCCAATAAGCAATCATTTCGTCTCGGGCTTCTTATCTCATTCTTCTCTTCGCAAGTTACCACCTCATTTGTATCTTTCTTCTCAAGCAATTTAAAAGCAGTTTTAGATGTTTTATGTTATAAGTTTGTATGTCGCCTTTCTATTATGAAAGTTAAGTTCTGGTTTGTTTAAATGATGTGTTTTGTCTGTTTGTGGTATTTTTTTTTTATTTTTAAAAGAAAACCTAGTTTGTATGTATTTTTTGCAATCTTTTTTATTGCATCAATTTGATATCAGAGCCTAGGTTAGTATATTCCTAGGTTGTTTATGTCTCTTTTTTAAGTATTTAGAAAAAATGAAAAAACATAATGAAATTGAGCCTAAAGTTGGAGAAAGTAAGTCAAATGCTCTTAAAGCAGATATCCTTATGAATAGATGGATTCCGTCGCATGGAGATTCTATCGATCCGCTTCAAAACGAGTTATACAAATTTCAGATGAAAATGCAATTGTGTATGGAAAAATACGAAAAGAAAAAGCAAAATCTTCAGGCGAAATTCAAGCAAGAAATAGAAATGATCTTAAAAAACATTATGTGGAGTAGACTTGGTTTTTTCCCCCTCTGTTGGCGTTTCGGTTCCTCCGCTGACTCCTGTCCCATGACTGGCTTTTCTTGTATCCCGTGGCTGCCTTTTCCTGTCCCCGTGAAGCCTCTTCGGGTGCTGCTCCTGGAGCGTCTGCTGACCTTCTGTTTCCCCTTTCCTGATTGGTTCGGCTAGTAGTTTTTTGGGTTTGTTTGGCTGCCTCTTTTCATCTATATATATGGGTTGTTTTGTTTATAAAGAAATGATGATATGTGATATTTTTTGGAGCAAAAAATCTACGGGTTTCTTCCTGGAAAAGCTTGTGAGCTTGTTCCATTTCTCTTCTCTTATCTACGATTTCATCTCAGGCTTCTTATCTTATTCTTCTCTCCGCAAGTAACCACCCCATTTGTATATTTCTTCTCAAGCGATTTAAAAGCAGTTTTAAATGTTTTATGTTATAAGTTTGTATGCGTCGCCTTTCTATTATGAAAGTTAAGTTGTGTTTTGTTGAAATGACGTTTTGTCTGTTTGTGGTATTTTTGGTAATTTTGTTATTTTTGTTATTTTTAAAAGAAAGTGATTTAGTTTGTATGTATTTTTGCAATCTTTTTTATTGCATCAAAAACCATTGCCCCCACCACCGTAAGTTTTTCCCCTTTTGTCAGCCATTTGATAATAAAATAATGCTCCACTCGGTACACTAAGCCCCGAGCATCTTCCCCTTCGAAGACTGACATCTTTAACTTCCTTTATCTCGCATCCATACACCAATGGTTTCTCCCTCTGTTAGTTCCTCCTGTATAGTGGTGGTGTGATTCTCTCCCCTCCCTTATTGGATTTGGACCCCATAGTTCGATTCAACCATGGTTTCTTCCGGTCCACCTTCCCTCCTGTCTGTGTGGCCTCCAAAAGGGTTTAACTTCCCCTTTTTTTTACTGCCCTTTCTTTAGGATACTTCATCGGAACCTCTTGGGGTGGTCCTTGAGGGAAAACACTCTCCACTTTATCATCCTCTTGAACTTTCTTCCCCTTCAGATTTGTCCTAGGAATAGTCGGCGAAGTTTTCGATTGCATCTCGATCAACTTCCTCATCATGTCTTCCAAGTTTTCAAAGTGGTTTTTCATGGATGAAACTACTTACATAGTTGTGAACTTCTCCATTCCGAAATATTTTTCCTCTATCCCAACCCTATGTTGTTCCATCTTGCCTTCCAACGCATCAATCTTCTTTGTTGCTATTCATGGATTTATGTTCCAAACCACGACAAGCAACAAAAATCGGCAAATCTTGTCTTCAACTGGCGAAAATTAGCAAGGTTGGAAGAAAAAATGCAGCAGAAATCAACGATGAGGACTTAAATTTCAGCCATGGAAATCACTCTGATACCAATTTGATACGCCTTAAAGTGAAAACAGTGAAGAAAGAAGATAAAAACTGCAGAAATACTCCAATAGTCGTGGATTGGATTATAACTTCAATACGAAAGCAAGATACAAAAATCTATGATTAGAGAGGTAAATCATCTTTTCCAAACAACCTAGATGCTGTTAGAAAGTCCTCACAAAAAAAGACTACAACAAACTCAGTCAAACCATAACCATAATTTAAAATAACTAGCTCTTAAATAAGCTATTCCTATTTCTCCAAAACAGCCTTATTGCCTTAATTAATTCCCTCCTTTATTTTGAATTCAAATTGATGTTCAACAGTGATTAATTTCCCTCATTCCTTATCCTGACATATGGATTCATAGTTTTGCTGGTCCCCACAATGGGGACCGAACCTTCCCTGGCTTTCCCTGGTCCAGCCCGTTCCACCCCCTCCTGAACTGGCCTTGCTTCCGTATCATAAATTTACTGTCTTTTCATTTGCTTTAATTTCAGCAACCAACTGAGATTAATGCTGCATAGAGTTGAAATAAGATGTATCTGCAGCTGAGATTTGTTAAAGTGCTAATCTCTTTTGTTATGTTCTTCTGGAAATAACTGCTACTGACTGTATTTATGAGTGATCTTATAGATGCTTTCGTCTTTTTGGTTTGAAGTGGTATCACTATCTTCTTAACAGAATAATCTTCTATGCCTAACGTGATTTTTATGCAAAATACTGCCAGTAAACCTTTTTGATATATAAAGATTGTCACTTGAACATTGCTTTGTAATCTTTTTGGTTAATTTAACCCATCAATCCTCATACTGATATGCAATGATATCAAGTTTTATTTTGTTATTATTTTTTATTTTGATTTTGTATTGTTGTTTTTGTCGCTTGATATTTAGATTTGTTTATTTTCTAGTTTTCTTTTGTGGTGAGAGATGTTGATTGGCACTGTTTTGCAACAACTTATCTGTAATTAAAATTCTTATTGTTAAATGCAGCTTTTGACACTATTAGAGGGTGCAATAAAGAGAGACCACTTATCATCAAATTTTGAAACAACAAATGAACTGTTAAGTTCAGCTAAAGCTTCTTCTGCAGCTAATAACACATTAATTTCGGGATCTGTACCTGTACTTCCATGGATACCTGATACTACTTCAGCTGTTGCATTAAGACTTATGGAGCTTGATGCATCAATTTCTTATATGCCTCAACAAAAGTCAATGTCTCAGAAAGAAGGGAATTCTCAAGATTTCTTTGTGAGTTTCATTCCTTTTTCTTTCCTATTTATGATAAGCAGAATGGAAATTTCTAGTCTTAAGAGCTGTTTTGATTCAATTAGATTTTAACTCAATTGGGATTTAGTAAAACTTGTAAATCCGAATATACTAAGTCTTGAGGGTGTTAAATCCGAAAATTATTTGGCAAAAAAAAAATGTTCCATCGTTGTAAATCCTATAAAATTGTTTGGCAAATAACTCAGGATTTAAAGCAGTTTATTATCTAAAAATTCTAAGTCTAACTGTGTTTTTATTATAACATGCTGAATTATTTTTTGTGCATTTATTAAAATTAAATATCAAACAAATTTTAGCTAGCCTTGATTATTCTTCTAGTTATTTATAAGTTAATAATTAATTCTAAATTTAATCACCATCAATAACTAATAATTATAAGTAATATAATTAAAATCTAGTTTAATAATCAATTAACCTATCAAATTGTTTATTTACTAATTTGACTTTATTTCATGTTAGATTAATTAATAATTTATTTAAACTAATGAAATACTGAAAAAAAAATTAATTAAACTCTAATCTCCAAATAAAGACTTAAATATCAACTATATAAATTGAATTTTCTTATTAACCAATGGCTGGCTCCCTTTCCTACATGATTTACCACTACTGTAATTAATTAACATACTGGAATCAGATTATATATATTGTTACTAGGCTTATACCATAGAGCAGTAGCACCAGACACTAGCACACAGAGCCACCTTCAGCCCACCATATTTATCGATGCTATATGCCTTAAAATAAACATCTTAACTCCACCGCATAACATCACAAACTACAAAATATTTTCCAAATAATATTTTGTTTTATTATAAGCCCTACCAAAAGCAACCAATAATCTTCCTATAGCCTTAGGCCTATATGGGGTTTGCTTTTCATCTTATCCATTTCGTTGCTGCTGTTTCAACTTTGCGTGCATCACATGAGGCAGAGTTTTTAATTATTGAAGGAAGCTTCTTTGCCTCCTTTGACGACGTCGTTCCTGTCGGATTGGAAATCACAATGAAATTACACTACAAAGGTAATGATCTTGTACCCCTTTCGCATGTTTCTTCAGCCAAATTCCTGCAAGTCCGCCGAACAATTGGGTTTACTAAATTGTGGATTCAGGGGAAAAACCTGGAAAATGCCGTGAAATCAGGATTTAATTTACTTTTGAGATTTGAGTAGGCTTTTTCGTTTTGCATTTGCAAGATTTAACTCAAATCCTGCAACCAAACAACCCCTTAGTTTGCTTAATAGAACTAAAGATGTTATGATTGTATAATGTTCACCTTTCATAATATAAAAAATGTGAGTCTTGGTGTAGCAACTTGGGAGTTAAAAGTAACACAGTCAATATTATATTGATTAAATGCAACTTGATAATGTTTACAATTCAGATAATCTTAATGTGGAGGCCGAGTATAATTGCATTTAAATTACATCTCTTTACTTTGATGCATGAAAAATCTCGCAATATTTTTTGGTTTTAGTCAGTCAAAACTTTCGTTTTGAATATCATGACATGTTTTTCATTAATTGGCTTATCAAGAATGCTTTCTGAGAGAAATACATTTTACATTTGCAGAAGCCTTCAAGGTTTACAATTGTCAAGAACCTTCATGAGTTTGAACCGGCAGGAACTCCATTGCAACTTGATTATCAGAGAGAAGGGAGGTGGCTTGATTCTGGCAGTGGTCGTAGAGGTCGTGGGAGAGGTGGCAGAGGTGGTCGTGTTGGACGGGGTAGGGGTAGAGGTGGTAGGGGAACAAGAGCAAGTGCTATTGTTTCCAGAGCAGAGTTCAATATAGAGAACATCAATAGTCTGGACAAGACACGAAAGTACAGTAGAAGAGGGCGGACCCGTGGACGAGGTCGTAGACGTGGACGGCGATCAGTTAGGCCCCGTCAAAGGTCTGTAAACCAGGCACCAACTTCCAGGGCAGCTTTTTTTCATGGCTTTGGTGATGTTGGTGCTTGCAGTAAAGAAGAAAGTGCTGAAGAGTCTCTGAGAAGCTCAGGCGGTGATGAGTGGGGTATAGAAGCTCGAACTTATAACAAGCAAGATGAAAACAGTGCTGGTTCCCAATCTGATGATGATAATGAGCAAGCTTCAGGAGATGAGTATGATGATCAGGTCACAGAATACAGTACACGCTACAATCAACCCAGTCCTATGGGAATTATGGATGATGAAAGTGAAGACGAGGAAGTGGATGAGGATGTAGGTGAAGAAGAAGATTATGGTGACCAAGCTACACTTGAAGACATGGACGGTGATGTTGATGAGGAAGATGAAGAGATGGGTGATGATGACGAAATGACTGATGCTGACGATGGTAATGGGGATGAAGATGAAGGTCCATCGTCATTCTCTTCAGGTTATAGTGATTAGGAGGAAGTCAATGGTGCAAGACATTATTCTTTTGGTTTTTGTTTCTTCTTGCTGCCATTTTCAGTTATAGAAGAAATTGGCTCTCTGGTGGCATAGAAAAATTGCCACTGTGACAGGTCGAGGCTTGTTTTTGAATATAAGAACAAAAGTTGGATGGGAGTACGTTTTATCAACTAGAGAGCCACAAAAGTCGGTGAGAAGGCGTTCTCCTTAGTAGAGCTTTCCACAATTTCCTGCACTGCAATGCAAGAAGAATGCTGCCTACGAAGTAATGCAGGAATTTTGTTATCAACACTAAATTGTTTAGGTGCAACTGCAATATCTCAAATTGTTGATGTATTTAATGTTAGAAAATCTAATTTGTATCTTCTTTCTCATGACATCAACTTTTGGAATGATTTATATTAACCGACAAAATTTTATAATAGAAATGCTATTGGAGTTAAATCTGTGGTGATTTCATCCAATATATTAATGTATGAATGATTTTTTTACATATCTAGCTTACTATGAAACAAATGTATAATCTGTTGCATGAATGTTAATTCTCGTTCCTACTAGTTTTTGTTTTTATTTTATTCCTGGACCATCAGATTGCATCAAGGTACTAAAATCTTTCCCACAAGAGTTAAAGATAAAATGTTTTCTGTCATAAACTCATTTTTCTTCATAGCAGCTCTATTCTCTTGCCTTCATGCTTATACACTAAGCATCAAAGATTCTTCATGCATAAGAAATCCTTGAGGCATACTAACCTTTTTTTGAGTACACAAAAAATAAACCCTATATATTGACAATCTCTCCAAAACTCAACTACTATAACATCTGATACATCTCTGAAAAATTGTCTTTATTGAGCACGAATATTTATGCAAGATGACTTGGGAACTTTGAAATTTAAATTTGGGATTAAAGAATAATTGGAAGCTTTAAAATATTAATCGAATGATCAATTAATCTTTAAAATTTGCATGCTTATAATTGAATCGAACAACTGATGAGACAAATCTAATAAGCCCAAGATCGCTTAATTCTGACATCATTTAGGAACCTAATGCTTGACGAACACGCTATAATCGAGGGAATTATCATGGGTCGTCTAATGGAGCACTATGAATTTGCTTTGGATCTTCTTCATATTTATAGAGCATGCTACTCTCAAAATCTATAAATAGACTCTCAATCTATTAATGAGCTGGACTATTAGGGGTCCGAGACTCTTTCCGAGAGAGCGAAGAGAGCTCTAGGGCTTGAAGAATTTGAGAGCCCACTCGAGCACAACTATTCATAACCCCTCGCTTTCGATCCACAATTGCCGATCCTCATCCCAACTGTCGTCACGGGACCGTTTGCTGGCCAATTATCATCATTGTGCTTTCAACCAATCGTCACCATTATACCTCCTTGGCCACCATCAATGAACTTTTGCCTACCAATTGCTGCTGTCAGACTTTCACTAGCTAATAGCCACCCGATAGTAGACATCAATCCTTTTGTCAGCCAACCTCCGCCCATGAATCACATTCATCTGAGTTTAGCTGTTGGACCATTGTTTCCCAACTACTGCCCCTCTAACCACCATAGCCCACTACGGTCCCACCAACCTTTATCGCTCGACTACGATCCCTTTAAGCTTCATCACCCCAACTATGGTCCCTCCAACCTCTGTCACCCGACTATAATCCGATTAGCCTCAATTACCTAACTACATTCCCATAGGGTTCTCTCATCTGGCTATGATGCTTGAAACATCGTCGCCCCCGATTATAGTCCCTTCGACCTCTATCATGAGCTATAATTCTCAAGCCTCCATTCCTGACTATGATCCCTCATACCATCATTGGCCTCCATCCCTTAATTATGGTTCTCACACCTCCATTGCTCAGACCACTTTCATTTGATTACAATCCTCTTACCACCGTCACCTAAATAAGATCTCTCTAATCTCTATCACCTGACTACAGTCCCTTAAACTGTTGTTTCCCTTTGAGCATAGTCCTATAGGCCTTTATCAACTAACTATAATCCCTTTGACATCTGTCACCAAACTATGGTCCCTTCAACCTCTATTGCCCGACTACGATCTTTAGACCACTATCACTTAACTATGGTCCTTTCGACCAAATAAAGGGACAATAATATTTTATGAACAACTCTCATGCCATTGGATTCTTCCAACTCCAACCATCTAATATGATTTATATAATGTATATTTATTATATTGAAAAAAAAAACTTCCTCAAAGGAAGAGCATTATTTGTAATCAGTAACAAACACTTTTGGAATCATTTCAATTTGGCTAGGCAACATGTTTTTTCTCTTTTATAGATTTTCTATGTTAAAAATCTTGTGTATCTTATAATTATCACACTTCCTCTCTCTTATCTATGGGTATATTTGATCTTTGTATAATCGTGGGACTTTAAACTCTATACTTCTCCAGTGCCATGAATGTTCTAGCATATAATAGTTTGACGTTGTCTATGAGAAATGATTGTTGGCTAGGGGGAATCCTTCAGTAGAACCTTGAAAGAACATTCATTTTGATGTCCTAGGCATGGTTACAATGAGATTGTCCCTTTAAAATGACCCATTATCATGATTGAAATAAGTCCTTTAATATTAAGGGAAACCTCACTAAAAATAGCAAATAAGCAGTGTTTAATATCCTCTCAACTATCAACCATTGTCATGTTAATTTCATGGGAATCAAATTTTGATTGGGGTTTAACTGGTTATAAATTTAAAAAGATATTAAAATATAGTTGGGATCAACCAAGTCTCTCCAATATTTTCTACGTTTAAGATAATCTTGTTGGAAACCATTTTTCATAAAGCTTCCAATAAATCTAAGAGCACATCATAGGAATCTTGAGGCAAAATGACTAGGAAACTTTGAAAATTAAATTTGGGATTATACGAACTCTAATTTCAATAAATTTATAGCCAAACTGAATGTCTCGATAAGAAGAACCCAACAACATCAAAATCAGTCCAATCAAAATTCAAATATGTCCAAATCAAGGGCTTAAAGAATAATTGGATGCTTTAGGACATTAATTGAATGACCAATTAATCTTTAAAATTTGCATGCTTATAGGTGAATCGAACAACTCGATGAGACAAATCTAATAATCCCAAGATCGCTTAATTCTAACATCATTAAGGAACCCAATGCTTGACGAACATGCTATAATCGAGGGAATTATTATGGGTCGTCCAATGGAGCACTATGAATTTGCTTTGGATCTTCTTCATATTTATAGAGTATGTCACTCTCAAAATTTATAAATAGACTCCCAATCTATTAATGAGCAGGACTATTAGGGGTCTGAGACTCTTTCCGAGAGAGAGAAGAGAGCTCTAGGGCTCGAAGAATTTGAGAGCTCCACCTGAGCATAACTATCAGTGAACCCTCGCTTTCGATCCACAATAGTCGATTCTCATCCCAATTTCCATCATGGGACCTTTGTTGGCCAATTAGCATCATTTTGCTTTCAACCAATAGCCACTGTTAGAGCTCCTTGGCTAACAACAATGAACTTTGGCCTACCAATTGCTGCTGTCAGACTTTCACTAGCTAATAGCCACCCAATTGCAGACATCAAACCTTTTGTCGGCCAACCTCCGCCCATGAATCACATTCATCTGAGTATGATCTTATAAATAACCTGAGATAGGTCAAACATCTTTGATGAATTTATCTTTAACCTCTTCCATACACTTTAACATCATCATGCAACACTTTGACAAATAATCTTAGATAGGTCAAACATCCTTGGTGGATTCATCCAGACTTCTTCGTCCATATAGGGTAACGCTATCAAGAAATACTTTAACTAACAATCTTGGATAGGTCAAACATCCCTAGTGATTTCTTCTGACCTCTTCCACATAGGTTACAGTATCAAGCAATACTCAATAAATAATCTCAAATAGGTCAAATACCATTTATAGATTTCTCTCGATCTCTTTCGTACAAGTTAATGATATCAAGAAATACTCTAATAAACAACCACTCATAGATCACATATCCATGATGGAATTTTCTCCATTTCTTCCATAAAAAATTAATATTATCGAGCAATGCTCTAACAACCTTAGATAGGTCAAACATCCTTGATAAATTTCTTTCAGCCTCTATCTATAGGTTAAGTCATCAAACAACATTCTAAAAAAATTTCCTTATTTAAGTCAAACATCCTCAGTGAATTTCTCATAACATCTTCTAGTTGACGTCATAAGCAGTATTTAGAAGTATTTCTCTCAACTCCTTCAACGAAAGGCTGAAGCCTCATCACCATAAGAACTATTATCCCTTAATCACTATCAAGCCTTTGCTTGATTGACATCATCATACTTTTCACTTCCAGGTCAACCCCATCGACACATCGCCCAACCTCCTTTATAGTCAAATGGCCGCTATCTAACTACCAGCATTAGTGCACCTCCTGACCAATACCATTAAGATGCTAGCCCCAACTGCCACCATTTTTATGTCGTCAGGCCATATCAATTAAACTTCCCATCTCTATTAGTGTGCCACTCGAAAAATGCTATTAGCTTTAGGGTTTTAAGAACACACAAACCATGTTTATAATTTTTCAGTTTAATAGACCTATTTCTACTCCCTAAAAGTCCTCCTATAATAGTCCAAACTCTTAATTATCAAGATATCATTCATTTTGGCCTAAGGACCTCATAATTTTATTCTGTTGGTGTGACATCTTAGGATTTGAGCACAGTTAACTATAGAGTTTCTTAATAAAATTTTAACCATTACATCAAAAGGTACCTTATGTTTAAGGGTTTAGCTTCTTAAACTTATGGGGTTTCACAATCCCCTCATTTAAGTGACTAACATCCTCATCAACATCTTTATCATAGAATCATCCATTATGTAGATAGGATTCCAGAAGTAGCTCATATAAGTTTAAGTGGTAACTCTTATCATGTAGTACTTTGTCACATATAGGATTTAAGGCATAGCACTTTATCTTGCATGATAAGTAGTTTTCATCTTCCTAGAGGTGTATTTCTCTAATACTATTTGTAATATCCTAAACTCTTAACTATTAAGATAATGTCCACTTTGGACTAAGGGCCGTACAATTTGTCATGTTGGTGTAACTTTGCAAGAGGTCGTTGTTGATATTATCTACCTCATGACCTATTCTAGAGATTTTGATGATAACAAAAATATGTTTGATGTTCTAATTTACGTGCTAAGAATTTCAATTGTAATGATTTGATGGATGTGCATGATAATTACTTATATGGGATTTACATTGCACAACTCAAGTTCAATCAAAATTTGAGTTGAAACAACTCAATATGGATCAAGATTGATAACTTAAAGATTTTTAAATTAACGTAGGAGTATGTTAGAGGTCCATTAATATTTACTTGCATGATTTAATTTGCTCATAATTTAAATATCTATTAAAATGATTTACATATTATTAATTAAGGATAATAA